ATTGCTGAGATTGTCGAGATGGATGCATTTGCTGTTGAATATGATGAGATTGAGGCAGAACACTCCCGTCCGGCTGCGAATGAGAGAAACAATATCTAAACTAGCAGTTTATCAAGATATCATTAAAAAAGAACCTCCTGTTAAGAAATTCGAAAACTTCTGTTAACTATGCTAAAAACAGCATTTTCTCTCTTGACTTAGTTTATTTGAAATGCTGCCTCTTCGTGCATGAACACATTATCTTACCATTCTTTGAAATGTTTGAGTAATTTCTCCTCCCCCTTGATTTGAACCGGGTGTTGTCGATTGTTGTGTCGTGAATTGCATATATGGATGTTGCTGTTGCTGTGGTTGATTTGGAAAAATAAACCTTGATGCTCGAGCATTAAATCCCGTTTCTTGGCCACTGCTTTGAACTAAAAATCTCGTTGTATTACCCGGCATTCCGATAACAGTTTGTCCCATCAACTGTGGCGGTGGCCCAATGGGGCGTGGTCCACCTGGTAATGTTCGTGGCATTATGATTGTACCACCTTGGCCTGGCTGTTGTTGTTGCTTTGGTAACATCATGATCGGTTGCCCTGGTAGACCTGTGAAAGATAAAATTGAATAAATAGAAAAAGATAAAATATTTAAACACTAATATAGAGATGTGAATAAATGCATGAGACATTTTTATGGAAAGCGACGAGAAGAAAATACTTCTAGAAACATGAACGCTGGACTTAATATTCACGTTTAAGAAATAGTAAACATTTTCACTTCAGTAATATTTATTAAAAGAGGGTATCATGAACAAAAGTGGGAGATGTGCAGTTTATTATGATCATTTTCGCGCTTACCATAATGTTGGTGATGTCCAGGAGCTGCTGTTATTATTTGTCCCGATTGATTTACATGCACATATTGTTGTGTCTGTTTTGGTTGGGGTGGCGGAAACTGTTGTTGAATGATTGATGAATACATGTCTGTCTTTTGCGCTTGTTCATGTTGATGAGCGATGAATATTTGTTGTTGACTTTCCTGTTCTTGTTGTTGCTGATAGAATGGGGATGTACTAGTGTCGTCCTTGGATATTGATGATGATTTGGTATT